TCCCTAGGTGCTTCAAGAAAGTTGATGCAGTTTATGAAGGACGAGAGCCAAATAATCAGTTCTCTTGGTTTCTTCAGTCAAGGTTTCTTCACTTCCAGCATATTGCTTTTTATACTGTGCTGGCTGCCTGTAGGCTCTTGGAAGAGAGTTTTCTCTTCCACTTGCTTTCTCCAAATAAATCTGTACCCAGTTCTGAAGCTTACATGGATGGAAACTTGATTGTCCTAGCCCACAAATCAGGAGCCTGAAGTGGATGGGTGCAGGCCAGTAAATTACAGACACAGACACCATACCTGTAGGATATGTCTCCTGTGTGTAGGTAAATGCTACCAAAAAACTCTGTAACTCCCAGTATGAAAAACTATAGATTTTGGCATCTCTACTGCTGTGTGCAGTCCCCCATGGGAAAAGGTTGCCAGTTTGATTAGACAATGTCAACCTTATGATATATGAAGCCTTTTGGCAAACACAGAATAATTTTTTCTGGAAAAAAAAAAAAGTCACTTAGGAAATTCTTGGGCAGATAGGAAGGGAAAGCTGGCAACAGCACCAGGGAAGAAACACAAGATAGGGAGCTAGGATTTAAGCTCTACAGACCATTTCAAGAGGTTCCATTATGGGCTTCAAGCTAACTGGTGAGTGTTTGGGTCTGACTGTTATGACTCATGCAATAATCAGCCTGGTTTATCATCCCAATCAGCTGCTGAGCCACCAGCATCCAGCCTGCCTGGTGCTGGAGCACCGAAATAATGGACACACTTAATGGGAACAAGGACGATGGTATGAAGAGACAGCAGTGGTCGCTGTCAGAAAAGCATAACTGTAAACCTCTTAGCTTTGAAGTGTGAGTAAGTTCAGATTCTTGGGGTGCTCCTCATTTGACTGGAAAGAGATAAGTGCTTTCTTTCTTCACAACGGCACAGTGCATCCTAGTTAGGAGTAAGGTATGTCCCTTACAAATCTTTCATTCTCTGGGAGATGCTGAGTGACCAAAACACCACCACAGAGCTGTGTTCAAAAGCACAGATTCAGCACCCTGGCTTCAGCTTTGAGGAACTTCAAAATTTGAGGCTCAGATCTCCCTGAAATAGGCCAGAAGAGAGTCCTGTATTCATGCAAGAGAAAAGCATCATGTTTCTGGCACAGAAACCAGAAGGTTTTTGAACATGTACTGGGATTAGCAATATTTTGATACCTATAAGAGAGGGACTGCTCTTGACTGTAAGCAAATGTCTCTTCAGGGCAGATGAACGGTTTTATGCCCTCGGTATTATTTCAGTAAGCCATTCTGGGAGATCTAGAGATCTAAGGATATTTTGTCTGCAATAAGATGAATAGCAAGTATTTTTTATCTGTGAAACTGCAATGCCATCTTTTTCACTATGTAAAATACAGATGGCTTTTGGATTCACAGCTGTCATTGCCACCACTTGTTAAAATAATTATGCATACATACGTGTCTACAGTGGATGCTTGCAAGCTACCTCAGTCATGACAGGTCCTGTGAGAGCTACTGGTCTCTACACAAGGGGATCTACAAAAATCCCCCAAAGAAATAACTTTTGGAAGTGGGATACAGAGGGGCAGCCAACCTGCTGCAGTAAGTGTCTCAAGCTAGCCAGGAAAATCCTGACGGGGGTGAGGAAATTGCCTCTACACAATCTCCTTTTAAAGAGATGGAAGTATCCAGATGCAGATCATATGCTAACTGAGCTACAGGTCTTGGATTCCACAGACAATCAGAATTAAGTGGCAATAAGACCTGACAAATGGTTGTCATAAGATATTTAGCCTCAAAGAGGACATGATTTTCTGTCTTTTGAACTATCTTTGAGTACACCAAAACCAAAGTCTTCAAAAGGACTCTGTAAGGTACTGCCTCTGATCCAGGCAGGACCAAGACCAGAGTAATATATTTAGATCTTGGGATTTGATTCTGACCCATATGAAATCTGAAAGCTTTTGATTTGCAGGGCAATATTCTCCACTGCCCTTGTCTTGGTTATTGCACAGCAGGTCCACAGTGATGTATATCATATCTCACAGCTGCAGCAGTGAGTTCAGTAACCTTTGCATTACTGGACCATGGCGCTGAGGGTGATGGAAGGCCAAGTTCTGGCGTTTGGCAGAAACTCAAGAGCTTTAAAAGCTACACATTATCAGAGCAACAAAAAGGGGCCTGTGCTGGGTGAGGTCATTTAATTTTCAATTTGCTGCAAAAGCGATCAGGCAAACCAGAAGGCAGCATAAAATACTCTGACCTGTCAGCAGAACAGGATGAAACAAATTCAAATGGGCCCAATTAAAAAAAAAATAAAAATCCAAGCCCACACACTAGAAAATATAAGCAAGATAATCTGGCTCTTTTCTTTCCACAATGTATACATTTAGTACCAGATCTTGGCATACAGCCGGAATCCTGAGTTGGCTGGTGAGGTGTAAAGGCAAACATATCTGCTCAGCCAAGCCAGCACCACTGGATTTTGATAAGCCGGCTCAGATTGCTTTAGTGCTCCAGAGCAGAATGGGCTGTGTGAGTGCTTTGATGCTGGCTGTATTGCAGACACCCTTCTACCTTCCCTGGATGCACTAGGAAAGGAGACAATAAGATAGAGAAAGAAACCTAAATGATGACCATCATAAAACTTTTACTTTTCCTTCTTATGATGGGATGAGCTGTGTTTATGCTTGTGGAGGCAAAAAACATCTGCATATCCCTCCTCCTTCTGGTGAGTTTGAACACCAGCATCTCTGAGAGCAGGAAACCTCAAAATCTGGAAATGTAAATTTCATCAGCAAAGACCATCTTGGAGACTTATTTTACATATAATCAGGCAACTTTTTATTCTCAATGCCACAGTAACTCCCAAGCAAAGATTCAGCTTTTAGTGGCTCATGTGGACAATCATCCTATGGAGGAAGAGCAGGGTGCGATAAAAATACTGGGTGAAACTTTCAAGAATGCCTAATAGTTTAGGAGAGTACCTTCAGCAGATTTGCAGCGAATCATATTATTTTACACGGCAGATATTCAAATGTCTGTAGGCACTTACAGCTGCCGACTGAAATGCTTAGCAGGATTTTCAAAAGCAAGTCATTTTTACAAATCCAGTTTGTACCTGTTTATAGCATTAGATTTCTAACTGTGTCAGGACAGAGGTATTTTTAGTCCGGAAATGTTGCTCTAAAGCATTCTGAAATTTCATGCTAACCAACCTGTTTTACCAAATTTCTCTTCAAACTTTGATTTTTTCACTGGTAGCACAAGCCGAAAACATTGCCGCTACAATTTATACCCGTGCAGTAATCATGATTTCTATGTTGAAATACAAATGACAATAATATACAAGAGGAGGAGTCAAATAAAGAATTCGTTTCCTCCTTTAAAGGAAATACTTGGCAATCAGAATTAAAAAAAAAAAAAGTCTTGAAATGTTAGTGAAACTATAATGAAATGATTCCTATCAGTTCAGTTGCAGATCAGTTGTGGTACATTAGTCCTTTTAACATGGTCTTACAAAACTCACACCTCACTTTCATGATAATCACTGTGCTGGAATTCCATTAATACCTTTATTTAAAATCCCAGTACCCACACTACTTATGCTTCACAATCTAATACTATTTGGACTGCTTTTCTGCCAGGTGGGGAATTGAAAAATTCATGGAGATCTGTGAAAAAAGAGATGGGAGTGGGCTATCTGTTAGCATCAGTTGGTGTGTCACTGCCTTCCCTGCCATCGTGGGGAAGCCAAGACTATGAGTGGAAGTTCCCAGCTACAAGGCAACGCCAAACTCAGGTTACTGCAGGACCAAGTTCTACCAAAAAATGCAGGTGCAGCATGACAAATTGAAAAGAAATATGAAAGCGCTAGCCTTGGGTGAATTTTAATGTTATTATTGTATTAATCAGATGGTTTCGGGAAACTAGAAACAGAACATTTATAATGCTTTCTGGGGATTTTTTTAAAGAAAAAAAAATTATCCCAAATAAAACAAAGCAAAACCAAACCAAATCAAACAACCCCCCCCTAAACTATTTATATGTTTCACTTTTAAGGACAAAATATTCTAACCAAACTCTCTTTTTCTTTTAAATGTACACAGAAATTCGATGATGTCTGTTCTCTATTATAGAAATGCTTAACTCATGGCAAGCCTCAAAAAAGAAGACTTGAAAAAGCCTGTAAGAAATAAAATAGACTGCAGTTGCCTGCTGGATATCACATCATATATCTCACCAGAAAGAAAAGCCATCAATTTATCAAAATGTATCTGAAAGGGAGAAGTTGAGTCAGTTCCACATGGCCAGTTCTTCTGACTCTTTAATGGATACATTTTGAAGCATCACTGCAGATAACAGGGCAAGAATTACTACTAATTTTGTTATGTCAGAACTATGTTTTGGTGCTCCCCAATTTCTTTGGGCTCACAGGAAACAAAATTAGTATAAATACATTACCATGTTAACTGTATTCAAAATCCCATGGACAAATGTATCCTTTTACAGTCCATCTTCAGAACAATTAACAAAGATTAAACAATGCTAATAACCCATTATTGCTTCACTTTCATTTCTCTTCTGTTTTTCAAATATTTACCCTCCCCACTGTACAAATCACTATTCTTTGTCACATGCCACATTGGTATTTTTGCATTCCCACTGTGTCAGTGAAGTAACTGCTACAAACATATGAACTATGAATTAGCTGGGACCACTTTCAGGAAGTTTGGCTTTCCATGCAAACAACTTTATATTAACCAAATAGTGACTGCAAATCTGTATTGTGCTGTTGCCAAGTCCATGGGATCTGATGCTTGGCTGTATAATTTTTATTTTATATACAGTGTATATATACATAAGTGTATATATATATACACACATATACACACATATATATACATATATAATTATATATGTATACATTCACACACATATAAATATATGTATGCATTGTTTTTTGCAAATGAAATCAGAAAGCAAGCAAAACAAGACTGACCTGACTTACCTGTACTGGGTTCACAGTCAATGAAATCTTCATCGTCACTGGAACATTCAGCTGATGAGACGATGTCATCTGTTGTCTGGCACGTGAAGGCAATGGTGAAGGAAAAAGAACAGAGGAAAAAGAAATATAAGATACTTGCAAGTTGAGAGGCTGTTACAGAAGCAGCTAAGTATCCTAGAAAAAAAAATATAAATGTTTCAGAATTGTAACTTTTAAGAGATTTAAATTGTACCAAGCATTCCAGGTATCTCTGTGTGAATGCGTCCCCCACGGAGCTGGGTTCCTTTGTCAGAGGAACAGTGTTTGAGCACCTCAGGTGTGCCCAGGGGCCTTTTGGGTCAGCGGGCGGATGGCACGGCACACCGTCAGTGCACCCCAGGGGATGGAAAACTCTCCTCCCAGAGCCAAAGTAGATGTGTCCACTTGGAACACGCTGGGCTCCTCGATAAACACCAATACCACGGAGGCCCAGCCAGAAGGCACCTACTGAGAGACTGAACACATGAAGCATGTTCATGCTGAACACGCTTGCTGCCAAGAAAAACGTGCAGGATAGATGCCATGCATCCCCCAGGCAGCTAACAGGACTCTTTGCTGTGTTGCTGGATGCATCACCCCAAGGCAGAGGTAATTCCTTCTCTGTTAATGCACCTCCAGGGCTGGGGATTCTGTGTATTTACCCAAATCTGTACAATTGATTTGCACTATGAAGAACTGCTGCATGTGTGAGGTAAAGCCAACATGCAACATCACCTGCTGGAAAGTCTGGTTCTGAAAGGCTTACACCGAACTGTGATTGTTCATGTCCCTTACAGGTTTCAGCACATTCCTCTGCATTTCTAGCTGATGATTTTTTTCTTTTTTTTTTTTTTTTTTTTTTTTTTTTTTTTTTTTCTGGCTTAATTAAAAAGACACAAAAAAAAAAAAAAAAAAAAAAAAAGTTCTAGGAAAAATATTAAACCCATCTGTTTAGCATTGTTATTGTATTGATCTCCATCAGAGTTGATCCAACCTAAGTAGTGACACTTCTAAGGAGTAGGCAAACAATGACCTGCTTGTTTTTTTGAGGGAAAATTCATCAGAAAAGGTCCATTCCCTGTTATGTGTATATACGGCACTGCCAGAATGGCTAACAGGAATTATTCATGTTCGTACCAAGGAGAAGAATATTCCCTAAAGTATTTTAACCTTCTTTTATGAAAGCACATAAAAGAGACTTGAGTCTTAGAGCTTTTAATTTTTTTTAAAGGTGACTCTGTTTGAACCTTCTCAGAGCTAACATACTCATGCTAATAACCTACTATCATACAAAAAAAAATCAGTAAAAAACCCCAGACAAATAGAAGAAAAAATATCTATTGAATACTTATATAATTATCACTCAGTGGCAATGCTAGAAATGTGGTGCTAACTGCATATTGCCATTCATTTTGTGTGTTATTAATTTTTTAAAATGTAAGTCCTCTACAAATTTTCCTCACTATAAAAATTTCAGACACAACAAAGCTGTAACTTCTGCTGAGCTCTTTAGTAGTGAATCAGAATACACATTATTCCATTAATTACAGACAAGAATGCATTTTATAGACATTGTAATTTATTTTTAACTTTCAAAGGGAATTACATTTACTTTTACTTTATCCCAGTGCATATGGCATCAGTTGCAGTGAAGAAAGAAGGATTTTCTGGAAAACCCTTAGTTAGGCATTTTGATACAGAAAAATATTTTATTTTAAAGTCATAGCTTATGAAATGATAATCAACTTCAATTACAGATATCTGAGGCTTCTTTTTTTTTTTTTTTTTTCTTCTTCTTTTTTTTCTGCTGGTCTAATTAATAAGCAGCATGTACTGCAGCACGTTAAAAAGAAGTGCACTGGCGTCTCTTCCCAGCAGCATCTCCTGCCTGTAATTGCTGCAATTAGTTGAATTAGTAATGCAGACCATTAGGGAGAGTCTGTGGCAGCCTCTGGACACAGGTTGTAACGTTCCTGCACACAGTACAAAATTGCCCCAGCTCAGCAGCATCAGCTCAAACCACGGCTGAATTTGTCTCCCTTAACTTCTCCTCGCAGAGAGCTGCCTATTCTGCTGAGCAGCAGGATCAGTGGGATGACTCCTGAAACAAAACAACTAAAATGCTCTTTCACCAGGCAGGAAGCATTCCCGAAAACTCAGCTCCTCAGGAGCAGGGTGGCTGTATTTCAGTATGCTGTACTTTAGTACTCCAGGTGAATAACCCTGGGAAGCTCACATCACAAAAAGCCTTCAAAATCCTTATTCCTGAAAAAGACTCTCCAGCTTTAAATACAGCTCCCTTTACATTCCCATGTCCGCTATGGCTGCCTTTAACGTGCTGGATGTTCCCTCTTTGCAACAGTATTCTGAGGTCTCAGCCTTTTCTTTAGCCTTCTGGGGTCCTAACACTACAAAGTGCCTCTGTCTGCAGCCAGAAGTTCCTTGTGCTCCTCCTCTCTCTATCTGAACTAAGGAAAAAAAACAGAACTGAGCTTTCAGTCAGAAAGATAAGATTGAACCTGACACTCCTTCCCTCTTGATTTCAGTGGCTTAGAGTGAGCCAAGAAAGAAAAATGGGATCGGTCAGCTGTAAATAAAAACTATAAAAACAGAATATCTGTAAAAAAGTAAGGGAAATCCTATCATATGTGTTACTTGGTCTTACCCGGCATTGCTACGTGGCAACGTTTTGTAGGATGCACTCTTGCACTAGTCTCATGCTTAAATACTTTCATTGCATACTTTCATAATATTGCCTCAATGTAGAGGAAAGACTAAAAGGAACTGAAAGTAACATGTACAAAGCAATTTCCTCCCTGACAGGCTAACGTCATCTTTTTAGCATCTTCTCTCAGTCATAGAAAATGGAAGAACACTGTTGAAATTCTGGTGTCTTCTCTCATAAAACAAAATGGCCTTAAAAGTTTGGCTCTTCAGTGGGAGGTCAAGAAAGGAGAAACACACAAAATACAAAATTACTTTCTATAATTCTTCTGGTTCTGGTCACAGATATTTTATAAAGCTTTACTTATCCTGAAGGACACCAAATCACTATATAACTTCTACAAACAGTAATCACATTGTCCAACAGTGAAATGCAGCTGCCCGTAGGTGGAAAGATACTAGTTTTTAATTGCATCACTGTAAAATAATTTAACACAATAAGTCAACAAAACTATACTGCAAGAATTTTTTTGTAAGCAGGTGAAATGTAGCTAGTGAAACTGGAGATACCAATCCTGCCAACTCCAACCTGTATCTGCACTTGTTCATGACTGGTTCCACCATGGATTCTATCAATCTCTGTCCTTTTCTCCTGATCTCCACTGCATGCTATTTCCCCTGGTATGCCCGTTCTTCTTGCTCTGTGATTGCTGTTTGTCCCATGGTGCTGATTTTGTATGTATAAAAATGAGGGTTAGAAAAAGAGAACAACCTCCAGAAGTGGTGTTAGATTTAATTCAAGGTCATTAATGAGAACTCTAGAAACCACAGAAAAGATAAGTACACTTATCTGTCTTTCCATTTCTATCTTGTATTTTTAATCTCAGTAGTTTCCATCACAATTCATCACTGATTTTCTAGTTCCATCACACATTGGTTTTCCATGCACCTTCCGCCCAGAGACCAATATCTGAATCATCCCAGAGGAATAAAGCTATTTCAGTGAGAAACAGCAGCAAATTCCTGACCACAGATACAGAATCGAGGAAACCTCCAGAAGACCATGACTTATTGTAACTGGAATCTGTACCTTTCAAAACGCTTCTGGTTCTGAAAATATTGACTGGATGATTATTAAGCTTGCTGCTTCCACAAGACAGGAGAGGCTAGTGAGCAGCGACCCCAGAAATCTCTCCACCAACATCATTTCTTCTCACCAGAAACGGCTTGTTGTGAGGCAGTAAGCAAAACCAGCTATTCCATTTCTGGCTCCCTTTCCCCGTTTTTGAAATGGGGTGGATTATACTCACCCATTGGCCTCAGGGGAGGTAAATGGATTAATTTTTTAGTGTCTGCCCAGTGATCTAGAGATGGTAAACGGTAAACATTCTTATGTACAGGCAACATGATAGTAATGAAACTTCCCTGTATGCTATGATGGAAATGATGTTTGTGTTTTTATTGGAAAGAACATGAGAGAGAAAATATTTTCCTATTCCATATATTAGCAGAATTCTATATTAAAAATAATAATTCATACTATGCTATTTTAAAATATGTATTTCATTTTTAAAGAACCCCAGCTTTGAAATTACTTGGCCCTGTATTAAAGGCCATAAAACTAAAGATAGGTATTATAATAACTTTCAATAAAATCTCTCTCTGGCAGGAACCCTTTTTATTCCTTCCTCTGAAAGATTTTTTATGGCATTTATATTATTATTTTTTCTCTCCCTCTCTCTAGTGTTTAATGAAATTGCCTTGGAATAAAACCTGGGTAGGAGAAAGTGCTAAACTCTGAGTCCACCCTGGAGGATTTATGGGCATATTTACCTTCAAATTCTTTCAATTTCACTGAATTGGCTCCCCATTCCTTTCCATGAATTATTAGTTCTGTAATCACCTCCTCCTAATTATTCACTCTAAGGGCCTCTTCAATCTTTCCACGGCTATGGTTCTACATCTTTGTTCATTACACTGTACATACTGGCATGGGATGTAAAGCACAAGGGAATTTGGGATGGTTTGGAAAGACCTGCTCAAGATGACTCCACTCCTGTCCAATCCTTCCAAGTGCCCAGAGCCCTAATTTATGTGTCAGATCCACAACCTTTGCTCCTTTGTTCTATATAAAATGGCAGGTGTTGAATCTCCCTTTTCCCAAACACAAAGTTTTTTTGACACCTTGCTCTTTGAGTGCACTGAAAGATTAAGCATGCTGGGTAAAATAAGTCCTGTCACAGAACAGCTTTATGAAATTATAAATAACACACCCAAGAATGATGGAGTTCTCACTTCTAGTGGGAGAGAAAAGACAAGGACCCATAAATTCAAACCCTGGACAAATTCTTCCAGAAGTACATACTTAGCAGTTGCTTCACTTGGAAAAGTAGG